GGGTCTCGTCGAGGGAAGGTGGGACCCTCGTCGACAGCGGTCCCGGCAGCTTAAATGGCCTCTTCCCCTCCCCCTGGGACAAAAAGGACCTCCAGGGCATTGCTGAGGCCCAAGGGATTTTTGTGCTGTCGAATTTGTTGCGTGCCCAGGGGATAACAGGGCGGCCGTCGCCGCCCCGCTCTCTGTCGCAGCCCTCAGCAGCACACATTTAAACAAAACATTCAATATTACACAAGCGGCGTCTCGCAGGTGGGCTGGACGTTGCCAAATCCCGCCGTCATTGATTTTCAACTTCAAGTCGTCTCTCTGATTCTTTAACCGAGGCCGGGCTGGTTGGATAAGCCGCCAGATAACCTTCAGGATTAACCTGCGGTGGCTCGCCGCCCTGATAAACTTCATTGACAGGTTCGCAGATCACCCTCTGCTGATTGACACGAGGCACAAACAGCAAGCTCTGGCCCGAAGGTTTTGACTTCAGGAAGTTTCTGTCTTGTCAGTATTAAGAGCTTTGCTCTCCAGAGCTGTAAAAAATATATGCAAATCGCCTTTCTGGAAACAAACTTGCTAGTAAACACATTTTTGGCTGTTTTTTCTTCTTTTGGTACACAAAGCAATGATAGCAGTTATGCTGATTGGAACCAAGTAAGTTAATGGCTGCGTATATATAGTTATGGCCTCATTTACACAGGGGTACCTCTACAGACTCAGGAAATGTTGGATGAGGGATTACAGTTTGCTCCTAAGCACATACAAAATAATATTGCTGACTTTATTTAAGATGCTGTGCTTTGGCACAGTGATAGAGCAGAAGCGCTGCCTCACATCTTATGATTTCACTCTGCTTTTACCTAAGCACTTGGAAAACAAACAGATCATCTCCTCTTGGTCTGAGCAGCTAACTAGGAGTCGGGGCTTTGCGACTTGCTTCCAGCAGGATGAACTGCAAGTTGGATATTCCTGCAGTTTGTGTACCTTGAGCACACCAGCACAGCAGGAGCTACTTTTCCCTCCCTCAAGTTCAATCCTGCCATCCTCCCAGAAACTCTCTTGGTGTTTCTCCAGCTTTTCTACACTCATTTTCTTCACAAACACTCATCTGCAAATCCAAGTGAAAATTTCCACCGCTTCATTCGCAGTCAGCTCCCAAGGAAGTACTTCTTACATGCCCTGCTCCTTTGTTTCCCAGGGCTTTCAGCTTGGGACGGCAGCTCCTGTTGCATGGAACAATGCACTCCCTTTACTTTCCCGTTTCATGACTATCAGATTTAGTGAGCTCTGTGTCTCCAGCTCCATGATTGTCTCTCTCCACAACCGGCATGTGGAGAGCTACGTTAGCAGCATGATGGTACATATACCACCAGCACTGCCATGTGGCACTCCTGTGGTACTTTCATCTCTGAGGATTCCAGAACACTTAGCACTGTGTTTCCCTGCTCGTGCATGGCCTGCTTCTTTAAAAGCTGTTCCTCCCTGCTCTCTCTTATTTCTTAATAAATGACGCCTTGAAATGGAGAGATTCCTGGCAGGAACGAGGGTGCGGGTTGGATAAGCATACTGGGAAAGGAGAGCTGCTCTGTGGGAAATGGTGGGTGTTTTTTTTCCCCTTTGCTGCATCACAGAGTGGAACAGAAAACTCCTGTCCCTGTGGATCTCCCAAAGGATTTGGAAACAGCCAGATGCTTTTCCTCCAATCTGTTGGCTTCTGAGGTCTGTCTGTAATGGTGTGGGACAGGTCCTGCGGGCAGGAGCAAAGATGGTCTTGTGGTGAAGTCACTTGGCAAAGGCAGCAGGTTCAGCTTCCAGCCGTGTTGCAGACTCTTTGCGATCTTATCTGTGCAGGTCCAAGCTGTGCCTTCTCCTGCTCCCCGGAGCTCACAGCTGTGAGTGTGCATGCTTGGCATGCAAACAGTGCTGAAATTAATTCTACTGGGAGAAAAACAGAAGGTGCAAAGCTGCATTTCCATTAACAACGTAATGTACTGTATTAGAAAATCGAGCAAGCAGCCGCTATGCTGAAAGCACCTTTGCATTTCATCTCTAATCACTAAGTCATCCTCCCTCCCAAAGGATCAAGTTCCCTACAGGGAGTCTTTTCTGAGAGATGTCACTTGTTTCGTGGGGTAAGAAAATAACCAAGTTGCTTCCAGAGAAGCGTATTCTCTGACACTCAAGCCTGTGCATTGCAATTTGTTGTTTTCACTCCTCCAGAGGTGATTTTGTGCATTTTCTTCATTTCATAACAGCCATGTCTCTAACTTTAAAATGCTATCTTACAGCAAAAGCCCGAGAGACCAACAGTAAGTGTCTAAAGCTTGCATAAAACGATGTAGGACAAAGACAGAAATACTGCAGTGAAAGCATTTGACTGAAATCAGTGGTCGTTTTTTTTCCTGCTGGCAGGAACTGCTGCGCACAGTGAGAAATGCTGCGGTGACAAACTGGACTCCTGTGCAGACCTCCCGCGTCATCTGCTCCTTCTGGGCCACCCTATGGCAGACTCTGAACACAGCCTGGCTGCTACTGCAAACCACCTTTGAAACAAAAGATTTTGCAAGAATGAACGAGACCCTTCTTGTCCCTGTTTTTGCCAGCCAGATCATAAAGCTCATTTGACTCTCCTCCTGACTCCTAGTGTTGACCTAAGACAAGCGGCAGGAATATAAAACAGGCACTAGTGAGAGTGGGGCCACACTCAGTAGGGCAACACAGGCTTGAACTAGAATATGCTGGTCATAATACCACGTCCTGTGCGCTCAAACGCCAAGACTTCAAAGGTAAGGCCCCAAGTGTTTTTTTTCCTTTTTAATCAGAACTGTTGACTATTGAATGTTTGAGGTTGGCAGTATTGAATCAAATCGACAATTCTCATATGAAAATGCCTTTGAAGTTTATGTCATCTGTTTTCTTTGCCATCAGCAGTAACCAAAATGGAGAGAACCAGTCAAGAAAATTAATCTTTGTCCAGAATCCTGTGGTGGGTTGACCTTGACTGGCTGCCAGACACCCACCCAGCTGCTCTCTCACTCTCCCTTCTCAACAGGACTGGGGGAGAAGATTAGGTGGAAAAGCTCATGGGCTGAGAGAAATACAATTATTAAGAAAAGCAAAGGCTGCGCACAGAAGTAAAGCGAAAAGGAATTCATTCACTACTTCCCATCAGCAGGCAGGTGTCCAGCCACATCCTGGGAAGCAGGACCTCAGTACATGTAGCAGTTTCTTGGGAAGATAAATGACATAACCACGAATGTCCCCCCATCATCCTCCCTTCCCTCAGCTTTTATTGCTGAGCATGACGTCATATGATATGGGATATCCCTTTGGTTGTTTGGGTCAGCTGTCCCAGCTATGTCACTTCCCAACCTCTTGCCCACCTCCAGCCTACTGACCTTTGAGCTTGGTGGTGGTGGGGAGGTGTTGCAGACAAAGCCTTGACACTGTGCAAGCACTGCTCAGCAACAGCCAAAATGTTGGCGTGTTACCAACACTATTTTAGCCACAGATGCAAGGCACAGCACCATACAGCCTGCTGTGAAGAAATTTAACTCCATCCCAACCAGACCCAGTACAAGGCCATCTTGAATACTGTCCTACATACAGCTTAATTTCTGAGAGCGTTCTTCTCCAAATTAGAAGTCTGAAATCAGGCACGCTTCTATGTCAGACTTTTTGGCTGAAGCTGCAGAGAACTTCCAGCTTGAGTTTAAAGTAACCCAAGATACTGACCTTTCCTTTTAGACCTGTGTGATTTTGTTGGTGACTTTTCAGTCATGCTCCAAAATACACACAAACTGAATTTGTTTGACGGTAGACACAAAGTCACATCTTTTCAGAGTGGCCAGGCTAAGTGTCTCTGTGCTTCAAGTGAACAAAAGGAAAATTAACCTAAATCACAGACCTGTCTACCAGTCTCTGAGGTGCTCGTGCATGATGCTTTCAGAAGAGACAGGTTAA